TGTTGCTCTCCGGTCTGTCAATATATTTTTTTTCCGGACAACTACAGATCTGCAGCTAATCACTTGGTCAAATATTTTCCCCTTGAAAATTTATCACAATAATTGTATACAATTTTTTCCGTAATTTGTGGAACGAAAACTAACAGTATATTCAACATTACCCAGTCTGACTACAGCCAGCCAACTATTTCACTTCGAACGCAGTGAAATAGTAGGGACTGACTTTAGTCAGACTGCCACATCACCATGACCACTATGAAATATTGTTTTGATATATATATGTGTATTATATGTAAGAGTCCTCAAGTTAAAAAAAAACTGCAGAGTTTTGAGAGGTCACATTTGAATGAATTCATTTTTCTTTTCTCGTTTCCCTAGGAACCAATTTCCCCCACACATATTAACTTCCATATGAAGATTAACTGTAACATCAGTTGGTCTCTTGTACAGAGGGCTTTTCCATCCCACCATTTCTTATAATTGTCAATTAATTTTTTTTTTTGTTTAAAAGTTTACCAAATAACAAATTCAACAACTATACTTGCATTTCAAGAGTTAAAATTCATTATCGTGCGCCATCGAGATTCAGCTAAATGAAGGGTCAATGGCGCGACAATGTGATGACGACGTTGCGATACCACGATTGAGCGATAGTGAACATCGCTTCATCGTCATAGTGCATGTATCACTGCGCCATCGTGATCACAACATTGCTATCGCTGTTGCGTCATCGCACTGCCGTTTCGTTGTCAACGCATTGGTGCGCCATCGCATCATCGTCGTCGAACCATAAATTCATCGTCATTATGCACCATCGCTTCGTTGTCATCGCATTATATCGTCACCACACTATCGATATCGAGCTTAAACTCAATGGTGCGATAGTGACCTTCATGGCCCTATATCCGGATTTCATAGTCAACAGAGAAATCTGGAAATCCCCTAGGAAGATATAATAACAAAGTGAACTTTAAAGATAAAACATTTACGAGTAAAAGAAGTACAGGTGGACAAGATTCTTATTACAGAGTTTACCGGTAAAAAAAATGGCTGTTCACATTCAAGTGGCCCTCTTGGGTATCCTTTCCTGTCTTATATCAGGTAATTTTATATTTGATTAATCAAGGCTTTAATCAAAATTAATTTTTTATTTTTAAAAATACGCACACATGGGAATGGGTGTTTGGATTTGTGTGTGTGCCGGTTAAGATAAGCTGTCTAATAGTTTTTTCTTCGCGATTATTGAAAAATAATCTATTTATACTTGTAATTTATCAAACTCAAAGTATACCTTAAAAAGGACTTAAAACATGACACATATTATGGTGTAACTACCTAGGAAAGGTGAATACAATGTGAACAAATATTGCAACGATTCTAGCTTCATCATAGAATCCCCTTTGCCGCATAAAGCGCGTTACAAATTTTTGTTCATCATTTTTCCCCATATGGTACTCTATAGCTAGTTTATACATGTATAAATATTTTACGACTTCTTGGTTATGTATCGGAATCAAAAGGGGGATGTAAAAGGGTTTTTACTGGTGAAATTCTTCATGAAATAGAGCATGTAGAGAGGAATTTAAAAATTTGAGAAATATATATATAATTATCAATGACCAATCACATGAATCATGCAGGTTCGGCAATGCATTTGATAACGTTTTCAGAGTTTTTAGGAAACGAAGAAAAGATAACGAGAAAAGTGAGACGTTTACATGTTTGTTTGCAGCAAACAAAGCAAACAAACCTTGTGATAGCAACAAGGATGTGAAGATAACAGAATGGGTAACACGGGGAACCTGTCCCTTAAAGTTCATATCGATTTAAATTCACGCAAATGCAGTGTAATCTAATTTGTCCCCTATTCCCTCCCCCAATGGTCATACACGCTTCGACCCCAAATATTTTTATACAAAGAAAGCTTTTTGTTTTGTATTGAACTCTCTTAATGATAAATATCCCAATATTCATTTTTTTTTGTCGAGGATTTCTCTTTTCTATTCAATGTGTTAACCTCTAGTCCAATTAACCCCTCTCCCTCATAATCATATACACATATACTTACAAGTCATGCACGATCAAAGTAAGAAATTCTTCAAATATCACACCTCTGTGGTTAATACTTTAAGCATACCAATTAAACAAGATGAGTTTGATTTACCCTCTTTTTACTGAATTCCTTGATAAAAATTCTGACAAAGATACTAGTATACATGATGTATATTGCTGGGTCAAGATAACCCAGGCAGGCTACTCACAGATAAATTGATGTTACAAGGATTTCAACAAAGTAAGCATTTGCAATTTTTTTTATATAGTGGCATTGTAAGCAAATATTATATATAATTGATTCATTGCCCCCCCCCCTCGAAAAGTGAAAGGGTATATACATGTAGTAATCGGTATGTCTGTCGGTTACGCTTTGGTATACCCATCTCTTACCCGCAACTCCAGGAGTCCTGGCTTACCACTGATTAAATTTGATGAGATTTTCACAGAATCTATGCAACTTAGTGCCCTTCTGCACCCTCACTTTAAAGTTTTTGATCGATAACAATTAATTCGGGTTTCCATAGCAAAAGCATGGACACTGTCATTATAACCCTCCCCCCCCCCCGCTTGAAAAATGGGAGGGTATATAGTAATGTGGGATATCATTTTGTGAGCTCATGCAGCGCTCCCAGTGCCTCTCGCAGCTTTAGTTTTATACATATTATTAGGCCTTTGCTTTTATACTGAATTTGACTACAGAATGTTCAGTCTCTTGATCAATACTTATAGAAACCACAGCGGACGTGCAGACACGTAGCAACAGTGGTTGGGGGGCGGCATCTTGGCCTGCCTTTTTTTCCCAAGCATACTTTTTACTACTCAAAATGGTCATTGAAAGGCCGGTTGTCCGCCACGTTTTGGTGCAGCAATGTGAAATAAGGGTAAATTGGGGTATTGTATGAAAAATGGTACAGAAATAAGTTAAACGTCTACACCCCCTCTCCACCCCACCTCACACACACACACACACACACCCTCACGCACCTTCTCACACACACGAATAAGACTGGGCTAATTTCCTCTGTTTTGGCTTGACAACTTTTTCAGGTGAGTAATTTTGTTTCTGGCTGGCCCCCAGAAAACTTTCAAAAAAAGATGCTACGTCACTGAATTGTGAGCAGAGGATGTTTACTCCTCCTAGGTATTTGATCCCATCATTGGCATATCCGGGGTCCGTGTTAACATATTCAAGTACTCTAGATCACCAAGTTTTGGCAATATCTTACTAGGCTTATTTTTGCGAGATAGCTACTAATATTTCATATTTTAATGAAAAACAATCAAATTATCACGACTTCTAAGGATTTTTTAATTTGTACATTTGTCATAAAATTGATGAAAAAAAATATACATGAATACGAGAATTAAATTTTTGCGAGAAGACTGCATTAGTCTTACCGTTAGTTCTTTCGAATAAAATAAAAGTGATTACATGTAAAGTATTACAAACAACAATATTTTCTGTGTTTTGATTCGTTAACTTTTGATTTTCTTTGTTTTGAAGGAAATGACGCAAATGATATATACACCTTCAAAAAGGGAGATGATAGTATATTTTACTACAAATATTACTACTATGCAGAAGAGGCAGCAAAAAGTAAAATGTAAGTACCAATGCTAATGATAATGTCATGTTTCGCCCAAAAATTAAATAGAGGGCTTTTTTGCTCAAATGAGCTTTACTGGTCGACAATATTGGACGCCCATCTATCCCTCTCGGTCGTGTGTCGAGTGGTGCCTGTAAACTTTTCACTTTTACAACGTCTTTTTCAAAATCGTCAATTTTAACTTAGTTGCCAAAAGTTCATGATTTCCAAATGAAGAACCACATTATTGTTCAGGGGGAGATATAGGGGGCAGCAGAAGGGAATCAAAGTTTTGCAAAGAAATATACATTGTATACTAGGAAAAAAATCTTTTTGAAGCTATCATTAACCATATTGCTATTGAAGTATATCTTCGATTTTTTTATTAAGATCTGTTAAAATTATGACCCATGGGCAAAAATATGGCTAAATTATCTTATTCAAGTCTCACATCGAATATAGAGAGAAATTTATGCTGATGAAGAAAGACAGGGTCATGGTGTTTCAAGTTAGCGTTGTGGCCCATGGGTCTCTCTCTCTTTTTTTTTGCTTGTCAACTTTTTTTCAGGTAAGTAAAATTTTTTTCTCTGGTTGCCCCCCCCCTTTCAAAAACGATGCTACGTGCCTGGTGACTGACATTAAAGCACAATTCGAATGGGACGCCAAACAACATATAATTGTACAATCAACCAATCAGTCATACGAAAAATTATGCAGGTAGTAGAATGTTAGTCTCAGCGATAATTTACACTGGAATTACTCAATGTCTTGGTAATCGTGTTTTTCCTTCTTATCCCCAGGAGTACAGGCGAAATAGTAGGACTTGTCGTCGGAATCATAGGGGGGTGTCTTGTGTTCGTGTTTCTCTGTGTTTGCTGCATTGTTTGGTGTGTCCGCAGTAGTGAACCCAGAGGAGCGCCCCCTGGGCGAATGTCAAACTTCAACCTGTCTCCACAGACTCGGAGGAGAGAGCGCACGCTAGGAGAAGGTAGAATAATATTATAGTGTGCAGTTAAGTGTAAAGTTTTACGTTACGTCACGATCTTTTTCGACAGATCCATCCAGCTTAAACAATTCACGTGATTGGTCAACTCAAATTATCATCATTGACACGGAAATAGTCTGTTGCACGAGCAACCAATCACGGATAAGAAAAAAGTTCTAGTCGTAAAGCTTGCGGTTAGGAGGCGTATACAATTAACCTTGAGCGCAACTGTCAACTAGATCGTGACGTAACGTGAGACTTTACACTTAGCTCCAAACCATAATACGAGGGCTGTTCAATAAATAATGACATACAATACAGATATCATATATATTGCATTAAGCTTGACTTTAATGAATTTATAACAGTTTATGTGACCACTTTTCATCACATAGTGTCATTGTGAGAAGCCGGAAAAAAGGGCTATTCGAGACACTGCATTATAAATAAATGGTAAAGAATAAATAAACTAGAGTGAAAATAAAAGCTTCATTAAAGCTGCTCTAAAACTTGTTAAAAATCCCAAAGAAATATTCACTGAAATATGTGACATTTACAGCAACCAATGCCTGTTTTATAGGCAAATTATAGCAGGTTGATTGCAAAAAATTACATAATGGGCATCAAAAATGGATACCGTCCTTGCCAACAAAAAATTATAACAACTTATGTACTGTTTGCCAAATTTTAACAAATAATATTTGATGATGTATGATTGACTTTAAGACACATAGCAAATTTGATAGACATCATATCGGGAGTAGTTAACACAGTTTTTAAGAAACGTTTGACTTTAAAAAAAACAGCTGAATATTCAAAGGTCACCCAATATTTTGAAAAATGAGTGAAAACGACAGCGTGCACGAATGTCTTAACAATTATTGTAAAATATCAGTAATTGTAGTTATCCACGTTTGTTTGATATTCAAACAGATAATGGAACTTGAATCTATTGCTTAAAGACCCAATTTTTTTACCGTACGGTTACCTGAGGAGGGGGAGTGGTCCAAGTAACAGTATTGTTATTTACCCCCAATACCCAAGATGTCAAAAATCTATATACACGTAGCATTATTCAGGAAGTCTGTGTCTGGTGATCAGGGTCAACATTCCGTGTTTCGTGTCTAAATTTGAGTGAAACTACATGTACTTGAAATAATTGAAATATTTCAATATAAAATTTATTTATATAAATATTTTCAGCGATATCTAATGAAGAAAAAAATTATAAAGAAATATCATTTTTATATTTAAAAAAAGACAAATTAAAGAAAAGAACAGAGTAAAACTACAAAGTAATGCCCTGTTCACACGACGAGTTTAATTCGCAGTAAATTAATGCGAAGTAAACTAATGCAAATCAAATTAATGCGAATTAAATTGCGTTCACACGACAGCTAATGCGAAGTAAACTAATGCGAATTAAAATTTTACTTCTGCAGCCCGGCGTCAGCATGGCTATTATGACGTCATCTGCAAATCACATCACTTTGTGCAGGAGTAGATGCATTTGACATAATGTTACAGTGTCTATACACACATTTTAGTGATAAACACAATTTCCCTTAGTTTTTCACTCAAAAATAGCACAAATACTTCAAGCTGACCACGGACATGTTGAATTTGACTAAATTTTGCCATTACGCATGCGTCAGAATTTAATTCGAATTAGCTTCGCTTAGTGTTCACACGAAGCTAATGCGAAGTAATTTAATGCGCAGTAAACTAATTCGAATTAAAGTAATTCGCATTAAATTCTCCGTGTGAACGCTAAGCGAAGCTAATTCGTACTAACTTTACGTTTGATTCGAATTAAACTCTCCGTGTGAACAGGGCATTAACATATCTCTTATTAATTCAACTTGTGTAAATGTCAAAATTAAAAAAAATAATAATAAAATATTCCAATCATAGGTAGGCCTATCCGTCGTGTGAACATATACAATGTACCGTACCGCGATAGGAATATTGCCTATACGTTCTGATCAACAATAGTATCGCAAATATTCACCATTTCCGGGTGTCGTGTGTTTAAAAAAATTTTATTGTTTGCAATATTTCTTTTACACTTTTAAGAATTGATCTTTTGCTGTATATATTCATTCACTTTTTAATTTCGAATATTTAAGAAATAAGGTATCATTTTTTGAGTTTTATTGAGATGTAAAACGGGTTGGTCACGTGATCAAATCCCATAAAGCCCGAAATGGAAGATTTGATCATGTGCCAACCCGTTTTACATCTCAATAAAACTCAAAAAATGATACCTTATTACTTATATTTACATTTGTGACTTATTCATACTTTATATTTGCCTGATTGTTACTTTTAACGTGTGAAATGCGTTTATTTTTCAAACCCAACGGCATGTATGTAATCCACTATACGCGCGTCGACCTTTATGGCGTCACAGAGAAATTACGTCGAACGTTTATCCAAACGCACATCTATGACCTCTTGACCCCATACCTGTATTTACACAGTTATAAAAATGCTTGCCTTCAGTAGTGTTATATAAAGGAAAACATTTGCAAATGTAAATATTGGGTATTGACAGATGTTAGGAAATTCGAACTAAAAGTTACAGTCTCGAAACTCCTAGCTGTTTCTGACATTTAAGAACTTTAAAACGGAACATGGTATAGATTGTATTCATATATACGTAAATAAAACATGGGATAAATGAATTTGTTATCCGTGCCATTTGTGCTAAATATCTTTTCTTATTTATCATATTCCAATTTTAATCGGCAAATAGCGTTTCTGTGTACGGAATGGTCTAAATCTTGGACGTCATATCGCCTAAAATACAATATTATGAAGCGTTGAGATTAAAAGCAAATATTTTATGAAGTCATGTTTTAATTATCTACTCTCAATTGTTTTTAAAATAAAATTTTACCAAGATTCTTTTTTTAATCCCCCGTATACGTGTATACAAGGCGGCTACATGAAAGTGTTTGACGCGTGACCAGGCAATCGTCTTCAAAGGACACAAACTCGGACTATCAGGTAGCATGGGTAGCTGGCCTGTCAATCAAATCAGAAGCTATTGTTTTTTTAATGATTGACAGGCGGTAAATTATTGATCGTGAATCAGGTAGATTTTGGGGGCGTTAACATAAAATTGGGTGTTTAAAACCCTAAAAACAAAATTTACCATAAGATGTACTGGATGAAAACAGCGAAGGTCTGACAACGCAGCACAGTTAAGGTTACAAATGGAAATATGGGCGATTTTTTAAGATAAAACATACATACTTTATTAGGATGGGCGATTCTTTTTAGGAATTCACTGATATCAAAAAAATGTAATGTGGTTTAAATCTACATGTTGGAGACATTTAGATTTTTTATTTAGACTTGTACCGTATATACTAGCCTATAAGTCGGTCCGCCTATAGGTTGGTTGTATTATTTGAAGTTATTTTGGTGCGATTTGCTATTGACCCGCTTATAAGTCGGTATAATAATTTTTTGCCAAAATAGGTTGACAATTTCAAGTAAATAAATTGATGTTGTAACCTGGTTTCAATTAATATTTTTCGAAATGACACTTATATTTAATCTTAAATTATAAAACAAAAAGGCAATGCTTATACTTAAAATAAAAATAATTTTTTTAAATATGTTAAACTCTTGTACTTTATACTGTATAATGTAAGAATTTATAAATTATCATATATAATATCCAGACATTTCTTTGATAATCGTCGGAAATGCAAATACAGTACTACATTTCAGTCTCCTGAAAATTATATCTTTATGACGCAGAAGGATAAAACGTACGCTGAACTAGGACCGTAGGTCCCCCGCACAGTTCACGTCTATCGGGTCTGTTTACTCCGCTACAAAATGTAGTGCGTTGCATATGTAAAGTGAAAATAGAATAAATCGTAATACTGTGAAGCCTTTTCAGTGTAAAAAAAACCCAGAAAATTTATTTTTGTCAAGGGAATAACCATCTGTGATGGGTATTAGAAAACAAAGAGTGGGAGGGGGGTTGCTGAGCAACATTAACTGCAATATTATAAGATATATAATATGTTAGAGTTAAACATTTATGGATTATGTTGGGTGACCTGTGGTCTCCCCTATGATTTTATCATTCCATGTAAGGTTATAGTATCTATATAACACAGTACCTAACCTCTGATCTCCTTACTAATAGTAAGCGACTCAGAGTAAACGACGTACGTCCAGTCTATGCATTCGCAGATCTCTAACAAGCAGGGGGGATGAAGATTTTGCCCCCTACCACCCCCTTTTCATTTCGCTCGGACTTTTCACCAATCCTTTAACATAATCGAATAATTATTTGTTAATAAATTATTTAATGTCTCTTTTGTCTTCCTTATGAGGTCATGCTTAAATAGGCGACCTCATCACTTTAACACTCTTTGCCGGAAATCCCTGATTTTTATATATCTTACAAAGAAGATGTACACCCTGTATTACAAAGTTTGGGGCTGCATGGAGTTCTTCTCCCCTTTTCCTGGAATTAACACATCAAATTCATAAACCCATCAAAACTACATTAAAAAAAGGAAATAAAATTTTAAAAATGCACCAATTGTTATTTAACTTTGGATTACTTATACTGTATTTGAAGACAAGCAAGTTGACTAATCCTCCAAATTCCAATTACATACATGTACATTTAGAGAATTCGGAGAAATTGTGCACTTTTTCATCGGTCAAAAAATTAGGGTCGCAATTCTTTTTTTTTGAGAGGATTTGAAAAATAATTCTAAACATACCGTGATTTTAAATTATTGCCTACTTACAAACTTTCAATAACATCGTAATAATGTACAACATAAGGTTACCTTTGTCTCATTCATATACTACATTTGTGAAGCATGAAATCTTTATTGATGGACTTCCGCTTGTTTCAATAATCTTTATGCGAATACCAGAGGTAATAAAAAGTTAATAAGACCAGAGGTCACTTTATATCGTACATCTTTAGGGCGACCATAGGTCACCTTATATGTACATCA